AACTTGAGCATCAAAATGATTGATTGCTTAGTCGGTACGTCGTGGAGGGCACTTTCTGCTTCCTTAAAAAAAGACTCATGTAATCCCTCTGAATTAGAAGCACATACCTGTAGCAAGGTTAATGCTTTATTTTGTTATGACTTCAATCGGACAATTGCTACTTTTCTCCGGACAGGCCTCCATTCCATGATTCTACCGATCGATCGAGACCAGTTCTACACGAACAAACCGAATCAGGTAAGATCGAGTTCTACCAGAACTGGAATACCTGCCTGAGCGCGTTTCATTGGACTGACTCCTTGTCTTTGAGTGAGAAGTTGTTCTGATTTGCGATGGTGAGCTCCCACTATCCTTATGATTCCCGTTGAACCTTGTCTAACGTGCCATAACAGCATTGCGCTGTTTGTCTCCTTCGTTAAGAACGAGTATCGGTTTCGTTAATGACTGGTGAATTCGGCGTCTTCTTGTTTATCTTCCGCAGACGTCTCCATTTACATGTCGCCTAGCTTCCTGAAGGTACGAAGCAGGTTCTGATCACTGATTGTTCGCAATCTGCTTGAGCGCTCCTTGGTAACGCGGTCGACGACCTAGTCGCTATATAACTTGTTGTAACGGCAATATCATGAGGAAGGTCTCGGGAAGTTTTAAGGGAGGGACCTCGGCACGATGCCCAACCCTCCTCTTTTGACGTCCAAGCTTGGGACCGGCCACGACGAGTAAAGATACTTACTCCCGTTATTCGCTTGTAGCGTGAATTTGCGAACGAACTGCAGTATCCGGTCGGCTGGCGAGAGTAAAACTTTTTGCCATATTGCCTGGATCAGCTGTGCAGCAGGAGTCAAGGAGACGTTGCCTCTGTCGCTCGGACTATTATTCTCTTCCTGCAGAACAACTTCGCTTAACTGCTTTGAACAGGCGACATGTGATTAAAAAATTTGCTGACTTGCTACAGCTTCACGTAGGCATCACGCGAACTCACGTAACCAGAATATGGTGTTTGTGAGGATTTACCCTCCTGTTTGAAAGCCGCTGTCGCGATTTGCGAAACACTAAAAACTTCGCGACTCTTGCAACGAAGTTCAGTCTTTGCACTGCACAACTAGAAATGTAGTTGTCAGAATGAGGTCACGAGTTTGAAAGTGGCTTCCGGTCATTTTAAAATATCAAACATAATATTGAACAAACGACGCGAACTGCATGTGATGAGTCTTCCACAAAGTGAATCAGCAATGGCTGTAAAAACACTTCAATCATATTATAAAAGTCACGTGAATAAACATCCCTTCTTTAGGTATGGTATTTGATAGAGAAGTGTTAAAGGGGTCAATTTTCACTTTCTGTTAACAACAGCAACCCACATGATAAACGAGGCATGTGATGCTGAGTTTAGTGGTGCTAGCTGCATAGGAGTTCTCGTGTACACTGAGGCATCGCGAGTCCTAGTTCTTTATTGGCTCCTCTCAAGCACAGCTGAACATTCAGTGGGCTTTCTATATTCTGCACCGCAATGAGGTTAGTTGTTCAAAGGCATTCTATTCTAAGTATAATTGTCAAGCAATCACTGATGCTACGATCCTTCAAAACTATGATCTAGATATTGAAATTCTTCTAAATTTCATTGCCGACTATGCGCTAAAACTGAAATGAGAACCTTCTAAAGGCAGGTTATCTCATCCAGTGGTTAAAAGCACAAAAAAGTCTAGAATATTTATTGGGCGGACGTTTTGGCTCAAATAAATGGATTCAACTAGTTTTCGTACCCGAAATTTTTTGATCAGATAACTTCTCATTTTCAAAATATCTTAAATATGAAATAGTCCCAGTTTTTGTAAACTTGCAACGATGCATCTTGAAAGTCGACGTTGTGTAAATTACAGAGGAATCTATTTCCTTCCTGCTGAATATTTATTTAACATGGAAAACTATTGTATATTCACCATCAACTGCACCGAACCTGTCAGTATTTATTGCAACGGCAAACATCGCTCCATAAAATAATTTTTTGCACGAACCACTACAATTTTACAGCAGTCTTGCCCATACGCTTCTAATGATAATGTTGTTCCTGTGATATTCACTTTGTGCCTAGATTTTATTTTTACTGACGTCAGGTTCTATTAAAACTTTATTATACATAAATACCTTCGGCTTTATACTGGCTGAAACATCTTATGCCATCAGTAAAATAATGTGAAAGGATCTCTGGAGGCGAAGCTGTGCCTGAACCTATGCACTCATATCGAAGTAGCAGTCTGAAACCTTCATGGCAGCCGCGTTTGTTTCCATCTTGCTGTCCTCCTTAAAATCACAAATTTATTCATTGCAAAGAACTGACAAGCATTCCTGCTATACGGCTTACAGCGATCGCAGCTACACATCATAAGGGTGACAATCAAAAGAATTTTCGCCCTTTCATCCTGGTTCTGAGGTACTTTGTGGCATCATTTCTGTAACAGAGATGCATTAGATGATGCAATATTCGTCTGTGCACTGAAGGCACATATGCCCAATGGAGCCGTAGTCCACCTAAATGGCCACTTAGGGTATGAAGCGGTGCATAATGCCAAAGCTAATCAAAAATATGCTTATCAACAGTGTTACATAAGCAAATTAGTTTGCGTTAGCAAATATTTTTCCATTTTAATAACTCTTAACACAGATGCGATAGACTGGACATGGCATGTGAATGCTTCTCGAAGGGAAAACGAAATATTCAGTACTTGCTCGGTTTCACGGAAGGCCAAAAATGACCCAAGCAAGCGCCTCATCAGACTAAAGCTATCATCTGCCGAAGATCAAAGGCTGACACAGGATCGTGAAGGTGGATACATCGCGAAGCTGCTGGCTTAGCAAATGGAAAAGAGATGTGGTCGTCGACATTTATTGACTGATAACTGCCAATTTTAACCTTTCGAAATTGAACATTCACCTACACCTTAGATGGCTGTTATAAATAGAAATTTGATTAACGTCGTTCAAATGACGGAAGAAACGGACTGTGAATCATTTCTTAACGAAAAAGTTTATAAATGTCGTGAAGATAGTGTATTCGCTAATTATCGCGTCAAAGCAAGTTTGAACTCTAAATGAACTACATAATAAATGCACAAATGAAAGATTTTCTAATGTCCACAAGTGTTTGTTGCCAAAATAACGTAAAAATAAGTCAACAGCCTAAAATTAATTTCGTAGGATCTCCCAAACCCATTTTAAGCGTGCTTATCAAGGACATCAGGTAATGGCTAAAGTACAGGACCACATGACAGGACAAAGTTTGGTGGAAGGTATACACTAAGCCGCAAAATCGTGTGAATCCTGAAATAATCGATAAACAAGGATGTGATATCCAAGGCTGAAAAACTTCTACTTTGGGCAGTTTCCTTTACGATGGTCACAAAACAAAGTAAAGATAAAAAGATAAAGACAAAACAAAGATAAAGTAAACAGTCACCCAGCGGAAAGGATGGGGCTCAATCCATAATAATTTTTTTTAAAGCACGATGGTAACAAACAACAATTTCTGTTCATCAGACGGTAGATATTTCAGACAAGCTGATGATCAACACACTACAATGGATAATTCATTCGATGAAGAAATTATCAGTTGCATCACTAACTTTCCTGCCACCAAAGATGGCATTTCCCATGACAACTAAGGAAACTGTCCGCAGTATGGAACGTACGAACCCTACTAAAAAAGAAAACTGTAGTAGAAATTTGAATCAACGCAATATAACGCAAAAATTGTGAGCCTGTTTGCATTAGTTTTATGGATCAGAAATGGAACTTTCCGCTTGCGGATATACCGTCATTCATTTTGATAAATAAAAGGCGGTCATATCCTTCTGGATTACAATCGCATGTTTTTTATCTGTCTAAAAAATTACCCGGTGAAATTCATGTTCATTTAGAAATGTAACAAGAGCTGCTGTTACAGAAGAAGAACCCGAACCAGTACTAATTCTACAGTAAATTGCAAGATCTTATACACTTCGCTCTTCAGGCATGACACTAAATGCGGTTTGGGCCCGAGGGAAAAAGAAGCAGCAAAACCATTTAAACTTTCGCACCTCCAATCAACTAACAAGTGCAAACATGTTCCCTCCAGTAGATCGGAGTTGCTCAATCGGTAGAGCATCACTCATAACTAAGGGCCCTGTTTTTGACCCCGGTCAAGTCATTCGCCTTTCATCCTTCCGATGCAGATGAATAAACATCACTTCCTGAAAAGGAAGCAGAAGACTACAAACTACATTACCTTGCTGCAAATATACTCTAAAAATAACAAGGCACTCATGGTTCG